GAGCAGGGCCTCTGAAATTGACCGGGGCTGGTGTCCGGGGAATGGCTGGCATCCAGCCAAGAAAGTGCCTTTGTTTTATCCCAGCAGCATTGTGGGGGGTGGGGGGATGAGTAAGAATGACCAGTCCTGCCAGACTGGTTGGTTATAAAGGACTTGCTCTAAATGAAACAAACTGAGGCCCCAGATCACTCCTCCGTGCAAATGAGAGTCTTTATGGGTCAGGGGCATTTCTGCTCCTTGAGAGAACGTGATTCCGTGTGCTCTTTAAGGGTTTTTTTCTCCTGTTGCTGTGCTCAACTCGGGGGGCCAGGTAGCCTCCTGATATTTTCTGGCTTCTTCTGCGTGATTTGAATGCTGCAATAACACACCCTGATTTTTTAAAATCCAGATAAAGCTGAAAGAGCCTGTTGTCATTCCCTTGATATGCTGGGGCTCTCTTGGAGGCCTCCATGCTGAAACGTCCAGCCTGTTATGCCGTGTGTATTTCTCTGTTTTAATAGGATTGACATTTCTCAGAATGATCTCCCCTGGGAATTCATGACAGATCACCTACCCAACGTTCTGTTTTTTCCTCATGATCGGCAAGTAGTAAATTCTTCAGCATCTGGATTGTGTAGTTTTCATAAAATATATGTATAATAAGAGAAGGAAACTTAATTGCAATAACACTGTGTTGGATTAAGTCTCATAAAAAGTAAAAGCAGTTTTGATCTTTTGCATCCTACTTTTGTAAATCATTAGCATAAAATACTTTTTTTTCAGAACCTCAATGCAACAAGAAATCAATTTGCACCTGAAAGGGCTGCCTGTTTAAAAGCAACACTTTTTTGGGGGTGCCTCTGAGTTAGCGCTGACTCCTGGCGACTGCCTGGACTAGCCCCTGCAGTTTTCTTGGCAAGGTTTTGGAAGTGGTTTGCCATTGCCTGAGAGAGGGGGACTGGCCCAAGGCCACCCAGCTGGCTTCGTGCCTAAGGCGGGACTAGAACTCGCGCCCTCCCAGTTTCTAGCCTGGTGCCTTCACAATGGCACCAGACTGGCTCCGAAAGCCAGACTCCTGGTCTGGATAATCAAGAGGGAGCCTGTCCCCCTAGCCTTAGTGATACGTCATAGGCGGTCATAGCCACCATTGCAAAGTAGGTCAGTGTTCCTTCCTCCGATGATGCGGGGCTGAGATGATGAGCAAGTTGCCTGAGGTGAAATCAGAAGCGGGGATTTCCTGGCTCAGCTTTTCCCACCCCTAGGATTTATTAAACAGCGATATTTTAAAAGATGGGTTCCCTGAATGAAGTCTACAAACTCAAAAGCTGAGGATCAAAACTTTTTCCAGTCCCCTTGCTCTGTGCAGGCAGGACTGGGGGCCAGAGGCTTCTTCTCCCTCCACCCCTTAGAGTAATCTGAAATGCTCTTGGTGGGGGGAGTGCTGGCTGAAGTTCAGCTACCATTAATTTAATTGTTGCTTTTGTTGCCCTTGAAGAAAAGAATGCAGCGAATGCAATGCTAGCCCACTTGTCTCCACTTGCGTTCTGCATCACATCTTGGGGGACTTCCTAGCATTGTGCATCTTAAGAACAGCTGGTAAAGCTTCAAGGGCTGGGCCATTTGGATTCAGCCCAGATCCCAAAACATCCAAACAGCAGGCCTGATGCAACTGGACGCATCAGAATCACGTTCCTGCTTTTCCTTCAGTTGCAGCCATCAGGTTGGGAAAGTTTAGCTCTGTTGGAAAGCCACGCTGGTACGCGGGCCCTGCAAAGCTGTAAGGAGTGCTGGGCCAGCCCAGTGGCAGCTGGACCTCAAGAGCGGGGATCCAGGACTTGCCAGCTGGTGACCTCAGCCAGGAGTTGGGCAGGATGGAAGAACAGCTGCTCCTGTTGGTTTTCCCAGGAGCTCGATTTCAGAGCCGCTCCTGCTGCTGCCCAGAGCCAGTATTTCTTGCCCTTCTGCTTCTGGATAGAAACTGGCAGAGCAGATCCCGCCCCACCACCTGCAAACCATGGCTGGATTCTTGGGAGTCTTGTAGCGGCCAGAGAGCAGCATGAGAAGCCAGACTCACCCTAAGCCGGGGAGCCCTCCTCCACGGCCCTCCTAGCTTAAGCATAACCCCAGCGCAAGAGCCGACTGGGGAAATGTTCTCAATAGAAACCTAGGAAATGCTGCTTGGGCAGGACTTGCAGGAAAGTAAGGCAGGCTTTCTCAGCTGTGGTGTGCTTTTAGAAGCCTCCCCCATGCAAAGTAGGCATCTTAACACTGTGCCCCCCCGCCCCCAGCAAGATTCACCCTTCTCTTTGCTCCTCTAGGAAGGACCAGAGCACAAAGTTCCCGGCTGCTTCCCTCATCAACGTGCCCAACCTCCTGAAATTCATCCTCCGTCACTCCAGCCCACCCTCCTTGGCCACAGGTTGGGGGCCCGGCCTCAATGGCGGTCTTTGGCAAGAGACTGTCCTCCAGCAGGCACGCATCGCCCGCCTGGAAAATGAGATTGAGGTGCTGAAAGCAGAGATCCGGACCCTCCACCGGGCCCAGGGCCAGCTGCAGGGCCAGCTTGCAGAAGCCAGGAGCGAGAGCCAGCGACTCCAGCGAGAGGCACACGCCTTGAGGAAGCAGCACAGCCACCAGGAGCAGCTGCAGGGGCTGTGCAGCCAAAAGACATGGCAGTTGGAAGACATGGCGGAGAAGCTGCGGGAGCTGGCCGACGCCTCAGAGACCCTCCTGACCGAGAACACCTTCCTCAAAGTCCTGCTGGCTTCCGCAGAGAGACTCCAGGCAGCGAAACCCAGCTCGGAACATAGCCTTCCCCGCAAGGATGCTGCAGGCCTTCCTGCCCCGGGGCAGGACCGCTTCCCCCAGGTGGAAAAGGAGGGGGCCGCCCCGCTTGACTCCAGGGTCCCTGCAGAGCACAGCAAAGAGAACTGGACAGAGTAGCTCCACTAAACCTGGGAGGATTAAGCTTAGTCTGAAATACAGGGAAGACCTTGATGCAAACTTTATTGAAATGTCATTACAAAGCCTCCCCTCCCCACTTCTTTTGCTGGACTAGAAAAATCAAAGAGTATTTTTTTAATGAGTCATGGACCCAGATCGACAGGTCTCGGGATCTGCAAAATTGACAAATTGCAGGGATTGTTCTTTGCACTTTATAATTGCACTAATTTGATAGCCTTTGTATCAACTTAACCTAAATTAAACAATTTGGAGGGTACCTGCATGAGGCTTCTCTTTCCCCGCCCACAAACAAGGCAAGATTAGTTGACTCCATCAGTGGGTGTCTGTCTTCAGCTCAAGATCAAATGCCTGATTTATGCCAAATGTTCAACCTGGTTACCTTCAAGATTTTTGTTGATACAAGTTCTGGGACACTTCAGGGATGTGTTAATTTATAAAATTAAGGGGTGGGGGAATAAGGATTTCCACCCTGCTTCCAACCCCTCTTCTCTCCAAGGCGCCACAGCTGCTCTATCTTCTCTATGGGAGAGAGCCTCTTGCAGGCCTGACCTGCTCTGGGACAATGAAATTGCGAGAGGCTGTTGGTGGCTGAGCGACACTGCTGCAGTTGGGGGCAAGCCCCTGCTCTGGTGCACCTGGGGGTCACCAAGCTGCTAGCCATGAGCAGAGGAGGGGGACCGTTAATAAAGGCTGTGCAAGACATTCTTGGGGGTCTCTCTAGACTTTTTGTGCACTGCATTTCAGCAGCTGATTTCCAGAGCAGCCAGTCAGACAGGCTGAAATGGAGGGATTCTGAGCTTTTCCCCTTGCTGAGCAAAAAAGGAGGGGAAAGTTGGGGGAGAGGGTCTACTTGCAGCAAATTACTTAGAAAATAGTGAGAAATGAAGGGTCCCTTGTTCTGAGAAACATTAGTATCTCCCTTCTGCCATAAAACTAAAAGCACAGGTGGAAATTAGCGAAAGGTCAGAGAAGCTAGAATGACAGAAACACTCGAGGCGCTCGGCTGGTTATTTACAGATGCCCTCTCGTTGAAGAAAACTTTTATCTACAAAAATACACTAGCTGAGAACTGTACATCCAATGCACCAGAGCGAAGCACGTGCCCCCCAGGAGTGTAACTCAGCGCAGCCACAGGCAAGGGAGGGACTGTGTGAATGCTCCTCAACCCTCTTGGCCCCCACACTGGGGGTGAGGCGCACCCCCCACCGGCAGTCTCCTAGCAGCCTTCTGACTGCACTTCCGAAGGAAAGCGGTCGTCACTGGCTGCTGGTTGTTGCTCTTGGCAGTCAGAAATGGCTGTTCCCCCCCCATGACCGCTGCCCCTCACAGCCCTGTCACTTCGGCCATAGCAGACTTCTACAAACTGGATTACAACTCCCATCACGCCCAGCCTACGTGGCCTGGGCAGCACTGGCAGGGCCACCTTGAGATACACTTCATCTGCACGGTTGGGCCCCTATTAAAAGCACATGAACAAAACGGCCATCCAGAGCCACGGCATTTTTCAGCAGCGGCAGGCGCAGAGAAACACGCTTCAGCTGCCAATACAAAAATCAATCATCTGCCCTGGACCACAAGAAGCCAGTTCAAAGCGCCCCCGGCCCCCTCCCACTTGGCTTCAGAGAAATCCCAGCGGTGGTCACGCGCCTCCTAAATCCAAGGCCACGGTTCACACCAAGCATGTCCATTCCCTTCCTAGTTGCTCAAAACCACGCCTGGCTCTCTACGTACGCACGTGCTCCGCAGTTGTTCACATTATGTCAGGGGCTCAGTGGGAGATTCAAGTAATGGGTTGAGTTCCCCTCACGCCGCGTCCCTGCCAGTCCATTGCCGGCAATGGACCTTGTGCCAGAAACCGAGACGCATGTCCTGGAGCAAGGAGAGTTGTCTTCCCCGTGTGCACATAGCTGCCAATGGCCAAGCCCGGAGACCAGGGTTGCTGGGCACAGCAGCAAAGCCCCGTGCGGTCCCTTCACAGCATCCGTGCACACCAGCTAGCCGTGAGCCTTGGGGCCGCTGGGACTCAGCTTGGCCTTCCTCTCGGTGCAAGGTCCCCGGGCAGAATACTGGACCAGAAGGAAGGGTTCCTTGCTTTCGCCCTCGCCCACGATGCTCTCCTCGTCCTCCGACTGGCTGATCCGCTGAAGGCGCAGGTAGCACCAGCAGCCCAGAATCAGGGCACCGAGGGCTGCGACGGCAATGAGGGTGACGATGACCGTCACCACCCCCGTGGTCGGGCTGTGATCCTCGATGGACATGGCTGGCTGGGCGGCTGGAGCGAGGCCGGCGTCCTCAAGGGAGGGCCTCAACGCCTGCAAGGGCAGAGACGCGATGAGGCAGGGAAGCGCGGCAGCGGAGCACAGACCCCCCCCACACCAAGGGCAGCCACAGCCCACCTGGCGCCCGCTGGAGTCCTCCAGTAAAGCCCCGAACCCAGGTGGGGCTGCACCCCAAGAAGCCCAGCCCTGCCTTCAGCTCCGAGCACGGTCCTGCCAAAAGTTGCGGGGGCATCGTGCCAGCGTCCCCAGGGCCCAGGCTAGACACACACAGGCACGGAGGCAGCTGCGAGTGCCTCCCCGACCAGAGAAAGGAGCCAGAAAACGTTCTCCCTTCGGCAGCCCCTGAAGGAAAATGGCCCAACAAATTCAGAAGGGGGCAGAGGAACAGGGAGGTTTGAGGGAAGAGGTCAAACTGCACACTTGCTTCTGGAAGAGCCCTGACACCCAACTTCTAGCTCTCCACAAAGGACCGAAGCCCCCTGGCCAGCATCCCCATGGCCTCCTCTGAGTCCTCCCCAAGAGGCTGGGGCAATCAACCACCCGGACATGCCCTCCTGCCCGCTGCACCCCCTCTGCCCCAAGCAGCTGCTGAACCCCGTTTCAGTCTCCTGCGCAGTGCAGCTGTGAGAATGGGGCACAAGGAGCGGGGAGACCCTTTGCTGTGAGGCACCTGGCGCTGTGGCTGAGCACGGGACAGTCCTGGCCTGGACAGAGAACCGGCAACTGACTCTCAGGAGTCAGAAGGACTCCGAAGGGGACCAGGAGAT